GCAAAACATATTACTCACGATGATGGCATTTAGAAAAGATGAAAGTTCATATTCAAAACTGAAGGCAAGCTTGCAAAGTCACCTACTTGCATTAACTTGTATAAACCAGACACGCCGTCTATGTAAGTTTAAGCTTGTAACACAGTTCCAACTGTTGTTCTGCTCATGGACTGGGTCAGCACAGACACCAAGTCAAAACAGTGAGTTTATCTTTACTTACATTTTAAGCAACAAAATAATACCGCAGCAAGAATGAAACAAAACAAGGTGAAATGACACAGCAAGAATAAAACAGAACATGGTAATGCACCTAATTATTCCTATAATAGAAGAGTAACTGCGGTGATTACGAAAGACGCATCATCAATTGCCCAGCTACTGCACCACCATTCAGATCCACACTCACAGAGAAGCTCCTATGCAATGTGTCCATCCACAGGTGAGCTCCAACTTCGCTGCAAGCGGGTCCAGCTTTTATACTGCTGGAATAAATAAGTTTACATAACTTCAAGGGTGGAGACATCTGGTTTCATTCTCCTTTTTGGATTCCACCAGAAGCCTGGCCAGGACTCAAGGAGGAACGAAGGAAGTTTGTGTATTAGGCCTTGATACCCTGTTCTATACAAGGAAAGGTTAATAACATTCTTGTAATGTTTGATCCAAAATAACCTCTTGCTAATGAGCTATTCCATCCAAGATACCTATTTTGCTAATGGTCATACTTACTCTGCTAACCATCAGATACTGATGCTATATAACGCATGGTTGTGAGGTTGATCTTGAGGTCCACTCTGGATTGAGGTGTACTGTTCAGGCCTTACTAGTTCAGCTACCCATGTTTCAATCAAGCTGCTGTAAAGACCAGAACTCCACAAGTTACCATGCAGTTTGTCTCCTCTCAGCCAAAAAAACAAAAACAAAACAACAAAAAAATTCATCTATCCTTAGAAGCACTTACACTGAAGAAGTTTCTCATTTTTTCTGCATACAACAATAAAAAACAAGCATGTATTTGTTAGAGTACTGTAAAATTATTCCTTTTCAAAATAATCGCAGTCTGTCTAACAACATCTCAGTACAAGTGGTTGTGTACTAATCAGAAGTGTTTCTAACTTACTGCCACTTAGTTCTGCAACTCATAACCCCACCCAAAGAAGAGACAGGCAGACCAATGTTTGCATGCAAATACCATTTGCACACTCAGAACAGGTTGAACCCTTTGTTGCGTGGTATTCTAATCTCAACAACTTCAGAGTTTTTGCTTGTTTGTTTTTAAGAAGTGTACCATTTTTGCACAGAGTTCATTTTGAAAAATGGGAGTTCAGGGAAGGAGAAATGAGGAGGAGGAGAAAAAAACCCTTCCACAATACCGCTATATTGGAGAGCCGCATGCAAACTGCGACTGCAAAAATGTCTACGATACAGTTTAAAATAGAAGAGCTCGGGGTGGAAAATGTATACCAACAGATTACATACACAAATGGCCAATGACAGCTATCAGAAAAGCTTCAAGCGTATCGCTAACGTTACCTTTGAGGAATTACTCTGTGTTTTTCTAAGTACTGTAAAATAAATTCACGATAATTCTACAGTCATCAGAAGACACACTTTCTATAGCACATACTACCTACTGGTTTCATTTATTACTATCCAAACACACACCCCCATTAAAGCAGCATTAATGCAGGAGACGTATTCACCACAGTAAGCCTTCCCCAAAGCTGCTTTAGGACATGGGAGTTATAGTTTCATGCAACCACTACACAGTCTGTAAGTGTTCCTACTAACCAAGAACATCCACATGCATAACACGAGTGCTGTAGCGAAGATCACCCTGCGTACCAAGTGCCAGATGGTAAGCACACAGCAGGGCAGCCGTACATCTGCTGGAAATTCACCACAAGTGTACTTTGAGGAAAAACTCCCGACTGCTCTTAGTTACCGGGCTGTGGTTAGCAGTACACAAATGCCTTGGATCACGTAACCTCAGTTCTCCCAGATGAAACTAAATTGAAAGGCAGGCTAGGTGTTAATTGGCTCTCAGGCTGTAGCACCACTTTAGAGATACTCAGAAGCAACACCCCCTCCCAGCTGGCTCCTTCACCCTGAAGATCCACGCTGCAGCACTGAGGCAGGTGCAGCCAGCACACTGAAGTACCAGGAATCCCTTCTATCAGGCAGTATTGAGGAGGGAGTGCATGTCCTCCAGCCAACAGAGTTTTCAGACTGACTTCACAGGTCCTAGCTGAACTAACTAGGAATAAATGGAACACTGCAGTTTTGTTTGCAAAGGAAATGGCTCTTAAGAGAGCATCCACACTATACACATTTTGTACAGGCAGCTAATTCAGACACACTACAGTTTGGTACTGAGGCTTAATGCCTACAGCAATCAGACTGCATCTCCTAAGCTCTTATAGCACATCTTTTAGTCTCATTTTATCCCCAGTAAAACAGTATGCTCTTAGAATGATCCACAATGGAAAGACTGAGTGGGAGCATGCACGTGAACTGGAGCACTGACACACCCCTACAAACCACCAACAGCGATGAGAAATCACACTGGGGAGAGGACTATGTTTCAAACAACATCACTACACACTTTTAAAGGAATTACAAACATACTGTTGTTAGAAATCCATGTTGTGGCCTTTGGCTATAGGAGACTGATTCTGTCACTTGAGGGGACTTACTCTGGGGTCAGTTTTAATCTTAAGAAATTGCTTGCACAGAAGTGGTGATGCTTTCAATGTGTAAATAGTTTGGTTATAAATTCCCTAGCACAGTCACGTTTGCAGGCTATTCCTCCAAAGCAGTATGGCTATTCCTGTGGAACAGAGGGAACGTAAGGGTACATTCTGCTTCCAGGAGAGGACTTTTATACAAATAAACCTCCGCAATTGTTATACATTGTTTCAGGGAGCCCCATGATCTTTTCTGTCCTTTGATTCCAAAAGGCACAGGAATTAGTAGAAAAATTAACCAAGGAAGAATAGCCAATTAAGCATGATAATTCACAACTCGTTCCTTCAACACACTGCAGCATACAACTAAAACAGAGGTGTGGTAAGTTCAACAGCTGCTAATGAACGGATTATTGACCTTGGAAATTCCCACTTCAACTAAGCTACTTTGCTGCTCCAAAGTCTGGCAGCACTCTGTGCTGCTCCACACAGGCAGCCCTAAGTTCCAGGGCAGGACCTGTTGTGGCTTCAGCAGATGCTCATACATTTCCAGGGTAAAACAATAACTGGAAAGGACAACCAGAGTTGACTAAGCCCTTAAAAGGCTTTTAGAATAAGGTTTGCTAAAGGCTAAGACCCTGAAAGTTTTTTAGGACTTAGTATACCATAGTATAAAAAAGCGCTTTATTTCTACAGTGCTTGATTTCTACAGTACAGTGCAATAAAAGCACTTTTTATTTACCTTATTTCTCAAGACTGAGAGAAAAGTGCTTAGGAGAAAAGCATGTTTCTTCTTATTCTTTGATAATTTATTCTATAAGGTAGAATTTTACACTTATTCTTTGATAATTTATTCTATAAGGTAGAATTTTACATTAAAAAGCAAGCCTTTAATTTGGAAAAGAAAGTATACCTGCCCCATTCTAACAGTGTAAGAGAATAAGGAAGGAAGGTTTTCCAGTGAACTATCTTGCAGTCTCTCCTCTTACTTTACATGGCTTCTACCAGTTCACAACACGTGTCCGTAAATCACATCTTTCTTCTCCATTACCTACGCTAAGCAAGTAGCAATCAAGAAATCAAATCAGAAAGCACACCTCTCTGTGGTGTACAGAGAGAGGAAAGTAGAAGGCATCAAAAAAGCCAGAAGAGAAATGGCGTATCTTCCAGCATATTGATAACCCCCAAAAGCCTCACACACATTATGGGGATCAAGGGGAAAAAGGCATCAGTGGGAGGGCTGTGCTTGCTGGAACGCACAGTCAGCTGCACACACCGCGGTTTGCTCTGTCGAGATAAGGAACCAGATCTGCCTCAGTGGCGTTGTTTTATAAGCACATTAATAAGCGAGCAGTCAGATTCCCCATTTAAAATTCACACCTCACCACGACAAATGCTGGCATTCCAGCTCGCGGGGCTTACAGCTCAAAGGACGTGGTTATGACAAAACCTAGGCTACTCTCATGAACCGATGTTTCCTCTCAAGATTACAGAACATCCTGGAGAAATCAAGAGAAGTATCCCAACAACGCCTGCAAACCGCCCTCCTGCTCTGTAGGACTGGGTTAGTTACCGAGCGACGTGCCGCACGCAAACAGGTGGTTCCGAACCCGCACCATTCCCGCAGCGGTTCCGGTCCCTAACCAGCACTTTGGGCACGGAAAGCTCTCCGGGCCGCCGCGATAACGAGCAGCCCGTAACGGGGCATGACACCGCACGAGGTCCATCCTCACCACCAGCGCACGCACCCGCCGCTCCCAGCGCCCTCGGGATCCGCCGCTTCTCCGAGCGCCGCTCGGGCAGAACTTTCACGGCGCCCCGCACGGGCAGCGCTGCGCCGGCCGGGCTGAGGGGACGCGAGCGGAGAAGCGCACCGGGATTTATCACCGCCGTTTAACTCAGGCTAACCGGACGCTACCGGAGCCGAGCCGGCAGGCCGTGCCCGCAGCCCGCGCGGCGCTGCCCGTTCCCGCTGCTCACCGCACTCAGCTCATCGCCTTCGGCTCCTCAGGGCCGGCACCGAGACCCCCGGGCGCGGCAGCCGCGTACGCGGCGCGATTCGCGTCCGAACTTCCGCGCGGCGCTGCCTCCGCGGCGGGGCGGCGGCCCTCACGCGGCTCGGAAGGGAGCCCCGCACCTGGCCGCGCCGTGCCCGGCCCCGCTCCCGCCCGCAGCGCTGAGGCGGCGCCGCGGCACGCGCCCGCAGTGACCGTTAGTGCCGTTTAACGGCCGCGGGGCGCGTGCCGCCGACCCCCCCCAACCCGACCCAACCCGACACCCGCCCCGACCCCAACCCGCCCCGCGCCCCCCGCTCACCGAGAAGCCGGCCCAGAAGGGACACGAGTGGCGGACGCGGGCCGAGGTGGTGAGCGCCAGAGCGGCGAAGCTGACGGCCACGATGAGGCAGCCCAGCAGCATCTGCGTGACCCCCAGCGCCAGCATGGCCCGCGAGCGGGCGCGGTGCTCGCGCAGGCGGGACAGGCTGCGAGACAGCGCCGCGGGGCTCAGAGAGCGCGCCCCGCCGGGGGGCCGCGCCGCCACAGCGCCCGGCGGCATCCTCCGGCGGGGCCTCCCGACCGCCCCCCCGCCCCGCGGGCAGCCGACGGCCGCGCCTCATGGAGCAGGCGCTGCCCGGGCGGCCCGCGCGGCTGCGGCCGGCGGGTGGGGATGGACGGGCGGGCACGGCGCCGCCGCCGCCGCCTCCTCCTCTCCCGGCGGCAGAGCGGGGGCGGCACCGGAGAGCGAGACGCACGCCTGGGGAGCCGGAGCCGCGCTCTCCGGCCCGCGCCCCTCCCGCGGAGGGAGGCGGGCGGGCGGCGAAGGGGGAGGGCGGCTGGCGGCCAATGGCGGGGCGCGCTGAGGAGGGAGCGGCGGCGGCGCGAGGCCCGGCCCTGAGGCGCTCCGGCCGGCACGGAGGCCCCGCGGCGGTGCGGGCAGCGCCTGGAGCGCGCTCGGGGGGGTTCTGCGGCGGGGAGAGCCTATGGGTAACCTCGTGTCAGCCAGCGTAGGCCCGGTCCTGAAATCTGGGCACGATCGTCGCCCTGTGTAGCACCACAATGGAGGTGGTCCAACACCGCTGTAGCACCAGACGCGGGTCAGAGCGGTGTAGCCGGGATCGGGCGCTCTGCGGGAACGGCATTGAGGCTTTCATCTTCTTTCACCGGCTCCTTGTTTTTTCGAGAGCTCTTCTTTGTAGACGGTATTTTGGTTCCTCAGGAGGCAAAGGGGAAGCGTGCCTTGAGGAGAGCTCCACGAGGTTAAGTCCCCTCTTTTATCATACTTAATGCAGTCAAATATTTTGCTGCAACAGCAAGCAAAATAAAAGAAGGAGGGAAGAAACTTGTTCTTCTTGAGTTAAATCAGCATGTGTACAACAAAACCAGCAAGGAAAGCACTGACGGTGGTGCCTCTCCCAACATGGCTGGATGCAACCCCAGCACACGTGCAAGTAATATTTAACCAGTCCCAAAAAGCTCTCCATGCTGAAGACAGCTGTTTTGTTAAAGAAAATCTAATGCAGAACACTACCAACTTAGCATGGATGTAGAAGAGTTAGCTTAGAGTGCCTGAGTTGCTCGTATGGGATATGAGCCAAATCAAAGTTGATTAAAGCAAAATACACAGCTCTTGGCCTACGTTTCTGCACCAGTTGTCATTCCTGATGCGGTTGCTGACTTTCAGGTGGGAGTGCTACATCACACCTGAAAGTTGAGGTGGGACAGCAAGATGAAGAGAAACGGAGAGGGGAAAACTGAAACTGACAAAATCAGAGGGGAAAAAAAAACCAACACAATAATTAAAGCTCTCTGCTATCCAAAGCTGAAAAGTTACTCCAAAAGACACATTTCAAAGTATAGGAAGACTCTTCTATTATGCCAGAGTGAAAGAGACTAGCAGAGAAAAACCAACCAACCAAAACAGAACTTGTGCAGTGATCGTGATTAAACAGTTCATTCCCCAGACCAGAAATGTTTAAACCTATTTAACAGCAGGATACTTAGAAACTTATAAATGCATTTCATACTCTGGCTTCGCATCTTGTTCATTTCATCTCTCTGAATGTTCAGGTGTAACTAGATATTGCCCAAGGTGCAACTTAGCTCTAGATATATAGTTCTTGGACTTTTGGAGGATCTCTGTTATGACATCTGTTTAAAAATGATACAAGAGCAGTTTGAGAACCGTTACCATCTCCTGCTTTAAATGATGTCGTTTTGCTGAAGAGGCCTTTTAAAATACTTTCATACATATTTTTCATTGCCATATCATTGATTCTAACAAAGTGGGATGCAGTACTGAAATTCCTTCCAGAACTACAGTAACAAAAGATTTGTGGTAGCCACGTTTACATTTGAACACTATAATACATTCATTCTGAATTGAAAAAAACAATCCTGAAGGCAGCCAGGAGGGCGCTACATATCTGGCTGATTAAAATACATCAGAACTCTGCAGCCAGCATGAAAATGATTTCATTTCTACAGTAACTGTCTCATTATTGTCAGTCTTTACCAGCTCCCAGCCAGTTCAGAAAGCAGCTTCAAGTCTCACACTAGGAGCTATAATGTTGCATTGATTTACTTTCAGTGTTGGTGAATTTCAGGGACATTGCTTCTGAAATTATTATTCAAAGTCCTGTAGGCAAGTAGTATTTTCAAGTTTGAAAAAAACAAGAAATCAATTAAAAGAAGTTATTATTCATATTTATAAATTATAAGTCCTGTTTATCAATTAAGATACAGCTATTTCATATTATTTTCTAAAATGGTTGGACAGTGCCAGAGTCTACTATTTGATTCTTTTCATCTACTAAAGTTCTATAGTAGAAAGTCCAAAATAGAACTTAACATGGTCATTTTTAACAGCACACAATAACATTTTAATAAAAAGTACATCTGGATTTTAGTGACTTAACTGAAGAATCATTTCAAGCATTTCCAAGTAGGCTTTTATTTCCTTTATTGAAAGAAAATTGAAAGCTAGATTGTGATTTAATCGAACTCAAAGACTTGGTTTACTGAGAAAAACATATAAGATTTACAGGTAAGTGGTTTGAAGTGCTTAGAAAGCAAAAATCAATAATTCCTTGGGTTGCTGAGATTGTAGATTTTCCAGTAAGGGACATGGAATCAGAAATGAATCTGCTTGTGGGCGCATCTACTTATTCTTTTTTAATAATATGCACATGTCAATGAAGATAAAAAGGAAAAATCTATCAGATTTCCAATTGCCATCAAGTTGAAGTTATCAGAATATTTGAAAAAAGTATAAATTATGTCTTAATCTATTTTTCATCTTAACCAGAGTTTTTCTGTTGATAGATTGCTAAGCTTTATTGGTTCCATCACAAGTATTTAGTAAGGGGACCTGATTAAAAAAAAAAAAAAAAAAAAGCAGTAATTCTAAAGCATAATTTCCCAGTCAACTAATCAGCATAGTACACAAATTACAATACTTATTTGGCTGCATAGTTTTACTCTCAATAAAGTTGCTTTTTAAAAGCAGATGGTCTTTTTAGTTGTAAGGGAGTAAAGTTTTAAACATAGGACAAAAGGAATTTTCTTGGAGGAGCAGAAATTACAGTTTGATGGCTAAGACATTCAGGTTTTATTTTCAGAGGGATAGGATAGGTACCCAAAATAGGTCAGAGGCCAGCTGAGCCACTCATACCAATTTAGTTAAAACCCATATTAGGTAAGCACAGCTTTTTCTAGTATAGATATAATAAAATGTTCTTTCCAGCCTTGCCGCTCGTGAGCTGGAGTTAAAGATTATTAATTTTTTTCCTTCAATGGAATAGTAATTCACATGGGATTATTTCATACAAAGTTTCTATTGTGATTTATTAAATTGGTCTCTAACAGGATATTACATATAAAAAAATACTTTGTTATTCATTTTCTGTGAACTGTCAGGTTTTTTTTCTCTTTGACCTTTGTTGCAGTGGACTGTGATTTTCCTTCTATAATTTTCATCAATTCCAGCTGACTTCCAAAGAAACAACACATAGAAATTTTACTCACAAGATGCATATGGCACATTATAGCAAAGTTCTCACTCCCCCCAATAAAACAAGAGCTCCAATCTACTCCACAGCAGCAAATGAAAGGGAGACAGTGGGTAAGACCCGAGTAAGAGCTAATTTCTTTAAGTCCACTCAACTGCCTGCATCAGTTTTCAAAATTAATTCAAAATTGACATGAACTAGTCTAAAAAAACGTATAGAGATGTGTGGGATATGCCAACAGTTCTAAGTAACACCAGGCATGTACATTACTTCTTACCTGTAGCTTCCTCCAGCAGCAGAGAAATCTTAGCAACAAGGAGCAAGGAAACCCAGTTAAGCTGTGCATCTCAGTTCTTGTGCAAGTGAAAGTGAGGATCTGTATCAGAGTTCAGAATCCTTAAATCCTTGATTCATTTTCCATGGTGTACAAGACATTGCTGTATTCCTACTTACGTGTACCAAACTGGAGTTCCTACTCCGAACATTTTCAGGCTATGTCTTTGAGTATGACAGAGCTTTCTGTAACTGGAGAGAGGAGGTCTTTTTAAATCTGAATGAGTGTTTTTGGTAACATCAGCCTCAACTGTAATTACTGTGTGGATATGTTTAACAACTGAATATCAAAACATGAGAGCACCTGGATATGACAAATTTCAGAATCACAACCGATAAAAATGTGTTACATATGGGTGGTTCAACAAGCATGGAATTAACAACAGGTGCAGATAATTTATGTAAAAGATATTTATGGGTTACAGAAAATAGGTACTGCAGAGCTGAGAGAACTTCCAATGCCAGGGAGATGAAATTGTAAATACTACGTTCATTTTTATTTAGTAATTTCCTCATTCATGAAGTACAAGAGAAATAAGACTTACACGTACTTCAGAATTTAAGTTTGGTCTTGAAGCTTACATGGATCGGTATAACAAAACAATACTGAAGAAATAAAGCCAGTCCTGCCACATGGCCCATAACACAGCTAATTGGTATTGAAATCCTAGACAGATCTTAGAGTCATAGAATGGTTTAGGTTGGAAGAGACCTCAAAGATCATCAAGTTTCAACATGACTGCCCTGGGCAGGGATACTTTCCACTAGATATGCTTATCCAACGTGAAAAGTTTCTAGAAAAATAAGTACAGAGGATAAGGAGAAAGAGAAGGGTTTAATTTCCCCGTTACTTAAGTACCAAGGAAATGCTTTATGAATACATGCATCTGATTACTCAGTACCTCAATACTTGCGTAGGGGAAATAGGATCATTCTCCAAAGAGAAAATCTTTGTTTGCACATCTGCAGATAAAATTCCAAAACTCTTGTCCAGTTCACCACAGCATTGAACCCAAACTTTTAACTTAGGCGTACCTTCCCACATGAAGTTAATGACAGCTTTCCTTATAATTAATCATGCTGTGCTTTCAGGACCACATCCTCACCTGGTTTATCCGTTAAGCCTTTTAAAACCAGCTGAGGATCTAACATTGAGCATTTCATTTAATTGGAGACACTTGCAATGGACAAAGACTCACACAGGTGTTTCTGATCA